ATATTGATGATTTTCTGGGTCTTTCGTCAAAATTTTATGAAATGATGATTTTTGGTAAATTATTTAAAAAAAAACATCGTCTAGGAAGAATAATTTATATCGGACGATTCTTAAGAAAATCTCGTAAATGTTATTTTATTATAAGGGGATGGTAAGGAATATATAAATTTGAATAAAAGGAATGAATAAAAATTATTAGAAAATAAGAAATGAAAATTTTCAAGAAATTTTCGAGAATAAATAAAATATATACTAGATATTTAAAGTAATGATATTTCATATTAAAAGGAATGATTATAAATAAGCAATTAAAGATTATTCGTGATGGGGAATAAAGAAATTAATGAATATAACATATTATATTCATTTTAATCTGTATAATTCTATTCTTAATTTATAGGAAGGGATGATATTAAATGAAAATTATTATTTATATGAAGGATTCGTAAAATTTAGAGAAATTAAAGAAATGAGAAAAGAAAAGATTTTGAACATAAAAAAAAATGATATTTTTTTAAGATTGCCGAGAAAAAAAATGATTATTAGATATTGAGGAAATAAATATGAAAAGATTATGATATAAAGCTTATATAATTATTGATAGATTATCCTCTCTTTAGAATTATGGGGTTTTCCGTTTCGGAGCAGATTTATACGTGATTTATCTATCTCTTTGATTATGTGCGTGATTATTTGGCGGAAAATGCAGGCCCGGGATAGTCGCGTTTGTCATGCACCTCCCCTAATGCGTCGCGTAATTCTCAGCCTAAGGGTAATAAATGAAGGAGAAATTCTTGGCTGGAAATTTTGGGCTGCAGGAATATTTTTTTTATTTCGATGTATTTCTTTCTCGTTCAGTAGCTGGGGGCCCGCCCACCCCCCCTCTCCCCCCCCCCCCAGTGATCTTCGCGTAATTCATCTAGAATCGGCGGAGAGGGTAGACCCAGGACAGAGAATCTAAATTTTTCAGAATTTATAGATTAGTCGTATTTATCTACGGACATTTATGTACGTCGCGGCGCGGCAATTAGTCCAAGAGGAATAAATGAGAAATATGAAATGATGAATGAATAAAGCGAAAGAGAGCTACGTCACGATTCGGACTTTGAATTGAAATCTTTATTTCATACGTCCATAGAGGACGACGCGAATGGATATACGTAAAATGGGGGGATAGAAATAGGTCGTATCGGATTATCTGGGCAAAATCGTCAGGCTCTGAAGCGTTTTTCCAAAAATCTTTGGATTCCAATCTATAAATCCGTCCCGCCAGGGATGCCGTGAGATGAATGCCTACTTCTTGGAGGATCAATTAAATAGATATGGTAATGCCCCCAAGTAGTTCCTGCCGTTGTTGCAAGCCTGGCAGTCCTCAATTTCAATAGGATTCGCGATATCAAATCATTGAAATTCTACTGAATATTTTCTTCTGCGCCGGCTAGCTTGCCGTTACGAGTATACTCATCACGACGATGCTGCGCGGCTGAAAGCAACGGAACCACTCAAATGAAAAATATAGAATCTTCAATGATATATAATGAAAAGTTTCGAAAATTTTGAATAAGAAGACGAAATTCAAGAATATATTTTCTCAAATTCTCAGATCAATATATGTCGATCATAGATGAATTTATTATTGATTTATTTCATAATATATCATTGATCTTATATTTATCGATATTTATTTTTGAATTATATATTTCTTCTTCTTCGTATTCGATATCTAAGAAAATTCATTAATCGATTTCTTAGATATCAATTTATTAGTCATATAAATAAAATCGAAATCCAATATATATTATTCAGATCAAAAATTTGAGTTTATTTATATGAAAGAATTTTAAGATAAGAATGAAAATCTTAATCCTAAAGATATTATCGATAAATCGTAGAGAGATTGATAGATTAGATGATCAGATCTTCATTCGAAGATAAATCAAAGATTCTAGATCTTTAAGATCTCTGCCTATTCCGAAAGAATTAAATTTCGGAATTTCAAAATCTTTTGAGAGCCCGCAAGAAATATTTGAATAGAGAAATATAAAAGCTAGCTCTCATATAAACGACAATTCCGCAATTACCCATATCATTAGAATGAAATGAAATCAGAATCTTATAATTGGAATCCTTTAAATGAATATAGCCTTCTAATATAAATGATTTTTGAATTATCATATCGTAATCTCCAAAATATCTGAAAATATTTTCATATTCAAGATTTTCTTCATTCCAAAAGATGATTTCTATAAATAGACGCTCAATAAATATCTTTTAAAGAAGATTTCCTCTTAATATCTCAATATTACGGCGCGGCCGTTTGCTATCATTTCATTCGCGCGCGACCCGGGCTTTCCAGATCTCCTTTGAATTTTTCTTGCAGGTTCCCAAAAGGTTCTAAAATCTCGGAGTTTTAGAATCCTTCGGAATATCTAGCGGTTCTAAAATTCCGAAGTTTTTGGTGCGGGCGGCGCGACCAAATATCTCGGAGCTTTTTGGTAACGTGGTCCTTGCCTCCGGACCGATTTTCTACGTGATTTATTTGGTTTTGGCTGTCTGCGCGGCTGTTCGGCGGAGCGTATAGATCTGGGAGGGAGAATCAAAGTCTTTTTTTTTAATATATAGAATTGTCGTAGCTGGCTACGGGGATTTATGCGTTCTCCTGAGCCGCCGTGCAGATGGCCCAAGAGGGATAAGTGAGATCGAAAGAGCGGATTGGATGGCGAGGGTCGCGCGATTCGAAATCTCCTGAGAATTCGAATCATTTCTCTCTCTTCGGCTATCTGCGCGGCGGCTCGTTATAGATCCGGGGCGGAGATCTAAAATCTTTCAGAATCTATTAGATTATTCGTTTTTTTTTAGTTATTTGCGGCTTTATCTATTGATTATTCGAGATCTATATGCAATCTTATATATTCAGCATAATTTCTTTTTCTTAGATTATCGATATATTTATTATATAGAATAGATCGACCCGAGATAGAAAATCAAAAATCTATTTATCAATTTTCCGGATGACCATATTTATGCGCGGAGTCTTATGACTGCAGTCGACCCATCCCATAGATAATCCAAAGAAAGATAAATGAGACGGAAAAATTAGATTTTATATAGAGGCCGCGCGATCAAAAAATCGTCGTATAATCAAAATATTCTCAAGAATTCAAATATTTTTTCTTTGGCGAATATCTAAAATCTTTCAGAATCCATATAATCTATTCGACACATATAAGCTTAAATTCTTAATCATCAATGAAATAGAAGAAGAATTATGCGAAATTAGAAAATCTAAATTCATTTCAGTTCTTAATCTATCTAAAATCTCAATCTAAAATTCATCTAATATCATATCATCGAGGCCTAATTTATAAATCCTTTCCTTTATCGCCTTATTATCATCTCGATTTCTCATCTATTTTCTATATTCTTGTCCATTAGGGGACGAAATAGCCTCCCTCATCTCGTATTCGGCATGCCTCAAAGAAAAACAATTATCTATTATATTAGTCTCTGAATTATAAATATATCTTACTTATGAATCTTAAAAATCCTAGAATTGGCCTGCTATCTAGAGCAATGGGGACTAAATTTTTGAGAAAATCTATAAATAGAAAAATCGAAATCCGATGACAAAGAAATATATAAGTTCGCACGTGAAGCCCGATGAGCTATCAAGATCTTAAGACCGCCCGTGATATATAGATTCCGAAAGGTTTTAGCCCTCCGCCCCGGCACTTCACGTTCTACCGAGCCGCCGCGCAGACAGCCCAAGAGAGAGAGAAATAGCTCGAAATCTTGGGAGGATTTTGGTCAGACGGCCCTTTGATCGCGCGGCCCCCGCATGCAGCCCGATCTTTCTGTCTCATTTATCTTTCTTCAGCTATCTGCGCGGCGGCTCGGGGGAACGCATAAATCCCCGTGAGCAGATACGGCCAATCTATAAATTCTGAAAGATTTTGATTCTCCGTCCCGGGTCTATGCGCTCCGCTGAGCAGCCGCGCAGATAGCCAAAGAGAGATAAATCACGCGCGGAAAGCCGGTCCGGAGGCAAGGGCCGCGCGACCAAGAATCTCCGAGATTCTTGGTCGCACCGCCCGCACCAAAAATCTCAGAGATTTTTCTCCTAGATTTTAGAGCCTCTAGGGAGGCCGCAGGAGGAATTTTAAAGGTGAGCCCCAAAACCTAGGTCGCGCGCGAGCGAAATGACCGCAAGTGGCCGCGCCGTAATATTGAAGTATGTTGCGCTGCTTTCGGAGGCTGACGCTGACAAGTAACGGGCCTGATCAACATGTTTACAATAAAACCTAGACCTGCCAGATATGACCATGGACGGGCCCAGATATAGTTGGAATCAGAAGAAACCAACCGACTCTGGGTCAGAAGTAGCAACAAGCCTTTGAATTTAAATACAAATTGCTGCGAAGACAGCCAAGCCAGCCCGAAAATGAATGAATTAAACAAGAAAGCAAACACGCTATCTGCTATGTCAAAGCCTTTGAAGTGGCAATTCCATGACGGTCCCCTACATATCGCGAGTCATCCCCCCATTATCGCTGATTATCGCTGCATGCTGCGCTTGCTCTCATTTCTCAGGCGCTCTTCTTCCGAGAAATGACGCTGTTCTCGACAAAAAGCCTTCTGACATCTCCGGTACCTGGGGCATCCGATAGATTTAATTTATATAGGATGCATCTTGCACACAAGTAGACGGAAACAAATCATAACAGCATGAGAACTCTAGCACATGTCAAAACATATATATATATAAGCACGGTATGGATAAGATAAAAACAGATACTGGCGAATCATGAGACTCATTTGTAACAGCAGCAGAAATGACAATGATTTAGCAAAACAGACAAGGTATTGGTTGACGATAATCAGCCTGCTGACAAAGCCCTAGCTAAAGATCCCACGAAAACCCCAGTGGCTTCCACTGTCTCTTTCGTTACCCCATGCTCAGCTGAACCCTAAAAGCCCCGCCCTGAGCTCTTAAGCCCAGCCTGAGGAGCTAGGAAGTCGAGGATGGGATACACGTGGATCTGGCCCTCTTCCAGGTGGATGCTCAACTCCTTGGGGTAGAGGAGGGTTCAAGCTAGGGGTGCAGGGTGTTAGGGTATAGCGATGTTGGATGTAAGAATAACAGTGCTACATTTAGGGCCTTAGGGCTGAAGGCTTTGCAGTTTGAGGTTGGAGATTTTGGAAGTGATCTAGAGGCTTTCGAGAGAAGAGGATGGTCATCCTTCTATGTACAACTGAGAGGTGCCGCGGGATGAACGATTTTGCGGGGGAGGGAGTTCAGCCGACGCACGGTCATGATTTCCTGTTTTAGTTAGTCGTTGCGGTCTAATGCGTTTAGGGGTCCGGTCACTTTGGGTTTTGGCGTGATTCCTACATCTTACAGCCTTCCTTCACTAAGTCCCCAGGATGTGCACTTTGATGGCTCATACGGGGTTTCTTAAGCAGGGGTCTTGTTTGGATGGTCCCCACAAGCAGCTCCTGTAATGACAGTCCCGGTATAGCAAAACCCCGCAGCCCGGCGTTGATATCATGCCGTGGTTGGGTGGCTGTGTTCCAGGGGGCGACTGTTTGTCCTAAGTGGTAGTTTCCATAAACGAGGGCACCCGAATGTAGACACCCAAGTACTATAATCCTTATTCTAGGAAATGGTACCCAAACTTTGGAAATCCCTATGAATCCGTCTATCATCCCAGTTTCCATTTCATTGTCCATGTTCTTTTCCATGGCTGTAAGGTGGTACCCCTATTTTGGGAAACCCTTACTTCTCTTGCATGTGAGCTGCTACCTCATTTTCGGCAAGTGCCTTGATGAGCCTCTCAATCTGGTCGCGAAAGACTTCGGAGCCACCATACTCAAGATGAACCTGGGTAGTTCCCAAAGTTAGGGTCCCCTTTTGGTACCCCTAATTAGGGTCCCCATTTTGGCACCCCTAGATTTTGGGTGCCGTAGTATAATAAATACCCAAACGCGGCCCATTATTTTGAGAACAACCCACCTTGCAGCTTGAAAGCTCTAGAAGCAGAGAGGCGGAAGTCCCAGCATTATATGATGAGTATTATGCCTACTAACTACTATGACAATTATTACCATGACAATTGTTATCGATATTGCAATGTTGTTATTGTAGGCTTTGGCGTCCAGGGTTGTTATGTATGTCGGGCTGTCGTAATTCAGATGTGCGAGGGCTCAGTGCACCTGCTGTATCATTGGCCGCCAGCAGGACTGGTCAAGCGATGTTTGAGAAAGTTTAACGTGGAAGCCTGAATGACGAGGAGCAGTCTGATGCTCCATCATACGGCCCAAAACTCATGTTTGCTTGAGTCGGCTTTGTTGCGGCGTGGGATGCCGAGTTACATGTGCAACCTCCTCGCGCTGTAGTGATTGATGGACCCCTGGGTTTGTGAACTCGTCTTGTTGAATAAATGGAACACTATGGGTCATCGCGCAATCTAACCCCCATCCATCATAATCCCTGGAATAATCGCTGGAAGACCCTTCAAGACTTGTCTAAACCATAGTCTAGCTCTGTAGGCCCCTCCCTAACCCCTAACCTCCGCTAAACCTTAAGGCCCCCCTACACCCCAAGTATGCGCTAAGCCTCACAACCTTGCGGGCCGAGGAGCAGGAGGAAAGTTGGAGGGCCATGCCTTATGGCGCACCGGGGAAATTTCCGGGTCCTGGGGACGAGCCATTTTCGTGAAGCATATGGTTACTTGTCACCCTTAAGTAGATAGAATATGTGGTATATGGGGGCCTTATTATAATATACCCAAGGTCATATTTATCTGCTTAAGGGGGACTGTACTTGTCCCTCTTTCGGGTATCTAAGGTTTACGGCTTGGGAAGTAGGATTAGAAAGACGCACATGCTAGAGCCGATGCTTTTTGCAGAATGCAGAACTGGGAGAAGCTTCCCGTGGAAAACTATACAAACACAAACGCAGCTGTATACAGGTAGGTAGAAGTCAATCTGCTTAGCCCCTCCTTTGCAATCACAATTTTGTCAATCAAGCAGAACATATAATATTAGTAACAGTACTAATAATAATCTTAGGAACAATAACTATTACAATATTAATTAGTCATAATAATTGGTAATAACAACTAGTAGTAATAATTGGTAATGATAATTGGTAATAATGATTAGATATGATTAGCAATAATGATTAGTAATGCTAATTAGATGTTCCGTCTTCAAGCACCCAGCAAGCTGGAGCTTTTGATAGCTTGGGGCTACGAAAGCAGCTCATCTGCAGGATGTCAACGAAGGTCTCAATAATAATGGTGATAATCATGGTAGTAGAAACAATACTAATCGTGACAGTAATAACAGGGAAATAGCAATAGTACTAATAGTAGTGAGAAAAGCAATAGTAACATGTTTGCAAAGATTTTTGCATGCCTGGCCTCCAGGGACCTCGTTGCTGCGTAGATCTTGGCAACTTCAAGTGCATTTGCGCGCGGCAGGAAGTCCACTTCCTGCGGAAACCACCAGTTCAGAGTTTAGCGCTTAGGGAGCTTCTCTATCAATACCAAGCGCCATAAGCCACAGCTCCTCGTATTTGAACCTTAGATGCAGCAGAAATCTGCTAAGGCCACGTCTGAAAACCACAACTGGCAGTTTCTAAGAATGATTTCGAAATCGGTCCAGTTTCGGATGCTTATGATAAGGCTTGCGTAGAGGGGATCTCCCCGAGTTGGGATGGTTGCCCCAAGATTAAACTCCAAGCCTAAGCCGCATGAAAGCAAACCCCAAATCTGTCTGCCTCACGCCCAGACACCATGAATCGGATGTGTTATCCGCCAGGTCCACCCAAGGGCTGAGCAACAGCACGCCTGGGTGGGTCTCAAAATTGTGGGTCCGTTAGGGCCTGTCATGGAGGGAGCCTGCAAGGTTTTGGGTTGTGGGTCTTGGGCTTAGGATTTGGAAAGGTCCAGGTGCTTGCCATCGGTCGATGTGATGTGTACGGGAGTTCTGTAGAGAATCCAAAAGCCTTCTGGGCTCGGGACATGCAAAAAATGAGTACCATATGGATGGGGGTCTCAATTGTTACTACAGCCCCGTCCTATCTGGCAGGTCCCTGCTTCTAAGGTTCGACAGCATCTTCTTGAAAGATGCGTAGCTGCAGACTGGGAAGTTCTGTGCTTCACCAGAATGGGACAGAGTCTCAAACCCTGATACGCACCCATATTGCTTCATGTCATCTTCCAACAGCTCTGTGACTGCAAGATAGAGCAGGCAGCAGCAATATGTCCGTCTGAGCAGGAAGAAGCCATGGAATCAACCAAATTATTCTAATTATTCTATGAAGTTGCATTACCAAGCCATCCTGCAAAATTTGCAGCCCTAGATGGCCCTAAAGTGCTTTCTCACCCGTCTGCCCATTCTTCACTGACAAATGCCCATGCTGCGGGGGTTTACAAGCAAACAGCTCTCCCCAAACCGGCGTTCTGCGGTGGGAGGCCGTATAAAGGTTGTCAAACCTGCTCCTCGGTCCAGCCTCCTCGTCCAAACACAGGAGTGCCGGTCAGATGATGCTTGCAGCATTTTTTATCAGAAGAACTTGTTTTTCTGTGGCCTGCGACCCAACCGCTAAGGAGGGGCGCGCGCCAGGGCTCACAGTTGCTGTTTCCATACGGAACCCGTCTTATGATGGGAAGGACCTGTTTTGAGTGTATGGAATTGTATGTGCGGTTCTCAAAGGCTTGAGGCTGCTGCCTGCCAGGTTCCGCAGGTTCGTGGACACCTTCCGAGAAGCATGAGAAGTGACACAGGCGCCAAGATGACTAGGATAGTGGTTTTGGTGTACTACACAACAACGAGACACAAGGTCATAAGAGGAAAATCATCCTGCTTATGCAGCTAACATCAGCTAATTGTCTGGCTAGTTTAGCTTCTGTTGCTACTACCATCTTACCATCAGTAGTCTACCAACCGCGAAAGTACACCAATATACAACCCCCTCTCGTAGCATCGAAAGTGTCCCCCAACATCCGATAGGTAGCGTTTAATGCCACAATGTCATGCGCGTAAGCTTGTCTGAAAGGATCTTAATTAACCGTTCGAACGCAAACCCGAAACCTGAAGTCTTAAAAACTTAGCCCCAAATCCAGAACCCAAAACCCTTAATCCCTCGTCGCCTTCTCCGCGCAGGCGCGTCGTGCTAGCTCTAGGGCAAGATTGCCACCAGCACTATCCTGAAAAGATTCACCCTCCCCCAAGCTAACATAAAGCCCAGACGGAGCCGTACGAAGACGACCCGTTTAAAGAAGCCTATATGGGGCTCTATGTTACTTTAGGGGGTGGGCTTACAGCTGTAGGAGTGTAGGGGTTGTTGGGTTTAGGGATCTCAGGGTTTGGTCTAGGGCTTACGAGGATGAAGGGCTTAGTAGCTTCATGGTGGAGGGCGTTCAGGGCGGGTCCGGGCTTGGGGATTTCGGGTATGTCATCCTTGCCATGATTCAGGCAGAGGATAGTCGGGTGACGAGTTTGATCTCTTGACTGGAACGTGCCACTCTCAACTGACCTGCTATGCAGGCTGCGCAAATTCAACTCCCCCATCGCATTTCTAATAATATGGGCGTTTTGTGACGAATACAGCGGCCAGCAAGCAGTAGAAAATCAGTTTGCCGGTCCCTCCCTCTAGATGCCTTGTCGGCGCTCATTCGAGCGTATTGCGGGCCAGAGGTCATGCCCTTGGCAGCTGTGAATCCCAAACCGTGAGGGATTTTGCGGCAGAGGGTCGCCTCCCACATATATTTGCTGCTCATCGCCATGGCCCCGCAGCGCCTCAGGGACTCGGATTAATGATGGTATACAAGCTTTTGGACATGTGTGGGCGCCAGCAGAATTTCATATGCACATACATTACGTTTGAACATGAATCTTGTGCCTCGTAGCTCTTCCAAACATCCTCAAGGGGCTCCGGAAAGGGATGCTCTGGTGGCTTCCTTGCATAGGTCTCTGGGGACTTAACAACATTGAGCGTGCCGGTCTGTGTCCCGCATACCGGTGAGTTTTCCAGTTCGGGCTTGTTCAGAGAACCAGGACAACGCATATGACATGAAGCTATCTTACGCCTACCGTGACGCAGATTCTGCATGATCTATCCCTCTATAGGCCACATCTGCTGCCACTTCTGCTATTGCAGCTATCCTCGCCCTTCTTGTGTGTTACTGGAACGAGACATCCAGCCGCAATCCATACAGTGAAAAGAACAATCATCACTTTTGTGATGAGCTGCCGATAGTTCGGGCAAAAGATGCTGCACTGTGAGCGCTCTGCAACCTTGGCCACGGAACGCAGCGCCATGCATTCCGGAATGCTATCCCGACACCCAACCTCTGACAATGACCTTGAGTCCAAGAAGCGCGGCTCAGAAAGAGCCGATGGGTCCCAGGCGAACAGAACCTCAAGTGCTGTCCGGCGCATGCCAGGTTATGCAACCCGGTACCCTGAATCCACATAGCTGTCGCTAAGTGGCATGAAGCCGCCGCCATGGGCCCACAGGAGCAGATTATCCATCTGCCGACTTGTGTCCTGAAGCAAGGATTTCTGCCGGAAAACTCCGCGCGGGATGCTTGTGGAACCGTGCCTCCGGGATGTGCCACTCCCCGGGAATGCCACCGACAACATCCTGCTGCAGGAGTCTTTGGTTTGTCAGGCCACTCATGGCCTCCTCTCTTGCGTCCGCCTAACTGCACCATCACCCATTCTATTCTGATTACATACCATCCTTTGTCATCCATGTCCTGCTCAACCGTTACACGGGATGGAAGCACAACCTTCGGGAAGGCAACGTTGTTTGTCAGGGGCTTCACAAACTGGTCCGCCTCACAGAAACATCTGATGCTGCCAAATGCTTTCTCTGCATAGCTTCATCCTTTCAACACATGCATGCCATTTCGCAGCGGCATCTTTGGACGACTTAAACAAGTAATGGCACACCATTATCCTCATGTTGTCATGCTTTGCACATCTGCTGAGGGCTGGGCTCCGGTCCACAGAAGCCACGGCGGCAGGCGCCTTCCAAAGGAGAAAGTTTCAGAGCCTGTGCTCCCAGGCTACTGAAGGAGAAGAACAGGGGCATTGCTAGGGAGATCCCTTGAAATCCTTTACAGCCATGTGCTTTTCGCAGGAAAGCTTACTAGTTTTGGTTTCTGCACTCTTACCTGTATATTCCTGTTCTGCGGTGCTCGCCTCAGCGTCTCCCGGAAGACCCCCACCGCCGCCGCAAAAGTCGCCGGCAAACCAGGACCGGGAGGAGCCACCATGTTGCAACCCAAATCGCGGTTCACAGCAAAACGAAATCCGCAAAAAACTTGATTCAATACTGTTGTAAATTTGGGCAATTGCACTTCCCAAGGGGTTGGGTAGGCACAATGATGTGACAGTGCTGCGCTCTGAAGCAGGTTTGAATGCTCAACGTTGCGCAGGTGGGGTTAGGAGAAACACCAGGCGTGATTTGCAAGAAGTGAATTGCACCAACTTCATGCGCAGAGTGTAGCTGGCCCTAGAGCCTCATCGGCGCTGGCGGACCACACATGTATGCTCAATGGCAACATCGCACTCTGAAGACCACCTTGCATCCCAGACACCACCTTGCGCCAGAACATCGTAGCCGTTGACCGCCGTACCGATCGCAATTAGTACTGACTTTGAGGAGCTACAGCCAATG